TTGTTGTGTATTATTGATGTGTTGATTTTCTGTTTTTGTTCTATTGTAAACGGTTTTTATATGTTGTACACCACCGCGAGTCGCCCTAGGGCTGAGAGCGGCGGTCAACAAATGCACCAAAATAAAATAAATAAATAATAAATAAATAAATTTTATATATTGTATTATTCTTTCTTGCTTTCCTTTTTGTTCTTGTTTTTTTCTCTTTAGACTGTAAACATGATATGTGCAGTGTGAAAAGGAATTTGTTCATTTTTTTTTCAATTAGTTCTCACAAACACTCTCCATCCATCTGCCACTGTCCTCTCCCAGCTGTCAAACTTTTAAATGCAATGCATCAAAAACTTTGTCCATGTCTGATATATACTAATTATATATAATATATAATTTAAACATTTATTGGGGCTCCCCAAAAAACTTTTGCTTCTAAAAGGGCCCCACAGCTGAAAAAATTTGAGAACCCTTAGCCTACAGCATTTATAAAACTGGGAAAGATTAAAACATTGTTCATACAAAAGTTTTAAAAAATTGACCAACAGTTCAGTTGAAACAGAAGATTAAAACAAGATTAAAACATCAGAGGATAAAACACGATAAAAAACAAAAACACAAGACAAAAACAGAACCCCACCAAAAAAAGGCTGGGGTTTAGTTTTGGGACACATGAAAAACTTCAGATAGCCAGTGCAAACTTCGCACAAGGTTTTCTACAGATTTTCACTCTGAAATACATATATTGGAGACTTTAAAATATACTAATATATAAGAAAGGAGGTGTTCTATTCCATGGTTAGTTTGATGAAATTGTTATTTCCATACAGACATCTAACTTCCAAGTGAAGGAGTATATATTTGAAAAATGTTTGTAATAGAACAAAAACAAATCATATGCAAAAGATTCAGCACCAAACACCTTCTAAAATATATATTACTACCAAATTCTTCTATTTCTAGCAAGTTGTACTTGCTTTGAAATCGTGTGTTATATCAAAGGACTGTAATGGAAAAGGGAAAAAAAGCTTTGCAATAAGTTGATATTGTCTATTTCATTATGATCTCAAAGTTTTTTTCCCTTAGAGGGTCCTTTTGAGAACTGAAATACGCAAGCAATTGTGTATTTGTCTGATAGGTTGCTATTATTTAAGCTGGTATGCTGTCATTGTCTTTCATTTATAAAATTGTTCTGATTCCTCCTTTGGTGTTTTGGTATCTCCAAAGCCCTTCATTCTCTGAGTCCATTCCACAATAAATAGGAGACTCTTAAAAGTTTGGAACAGGGTCGTTTTTCCAGGCCTTGAACCAGACCAGGCAAATGAGGTCTTCCCAGTTTTATGAGGGAATATTGCTAATTATTGCTCGCATGCTCGAGTTGCTAGTTTGGACGGCTTCTTGCCCAATCCCTAGCATACTGGCATGCTTCCTCGTCATTTAAGAAATTCTGTAATAAAAGGATATATCAACTATGTTTTCTTAAATAGTCCAGAACAGTGTTTTTGTTACCTTTTCCCCTTTGATTCCAAAAGGGTTAAACGCAGTTCCTAACACTTCTTTTCTGTGCGTCTGTAAAGAAAAGAAATATTTGTGTTGAGGCAACTTCTCAAACAACATCTTTCATTTACATAACATTCAAATGACTAGGCATTTATCTTTAAGTAGATGCCTTATTGTGTATACACAGTAACATATAGCTATCTGTTTGAACAAGATAAAACAAACCCCCCACATTCATTCACATTGCCTGTGCAGGTGATAAACAAGGAAATAAGAAGCACTCATAGCCCACATAGTTATGCAGTTTAGAGGAAAAGGGAAAAAATGAGACATGGCACCATGTTGTGGAAGTCTCAGTAGACCCATAGTTAATGTTGCCATTTTATTTTTTTCGGGAAAAGTGATGATTCTTCTCCTATTAGGAACAAATGTAATTGCTTGCAATAATGAGCATTATACCACTTTTTCTCAGCCTAAAGATGCATTTATGAAAAATGTTACAAGTAAATACTTTTAATAATTTAAGAGCTAAAAGTTGTGTGTGTTAAAAATCCCCCCAAAAATAAAAATAATGCTTTTAGAATCTCCATAAGTTGCAAATGGCTTTGTAGTAATAGGTAAAATTCCACGAGCATCTCAAGTGAGAACTAAGAAGTTATTAGAAGGGCTCTTTTTCATTCTTTAGTCGGGATGATTACTTTAAAAGCACACAGCCAAAAGCAAAATTGTAAAATTATTTTTAAAAGTTTCTTATTTTGGAATTCACTCCCTGAAGAAAGTCCAATACAATCCTAATACATATCTACTGTTTGAAAATGTTAACTAAAACTTAAGTCACTTTGCAGCAAGAAATTTAGAATTACTCAGAAATACTCAAATGCCAAAGACCTATTTTAGGTTTGCTCAAAGACTTGGGCGTGTCCAATGGAATTTTTGACATTTTTTTCCTTTGAACCACAAAGTCCATGTACCGTATCAAAAAAGTGCTTATAAAAACCCTCCATTTCAAAACAACCTCATGATAAACTACTGTTCAAGAAACAGAAATGAAATTTTATTTTAGTACAATACATTTTTAAAAAACTGGTACACAAAAACATTAATTATGGAACTAGTTACACAATTCTTTGAATCTGGGATACTGGCCTCTGAGAAAATAAGCCTTAACCATTCGTTTTGTTTTATCTTACCATACTAAATAAATACAACTAACTCTTAAGACGATATAATACCCTAACTCACAATTTCTGTTCATTCTCAAGCTATTTTCAGTGCAATGAAGTCCAGTGCATGAACAAAACTGATGCCAATAACACATATTCTAGAGACAGAAGTAGAATAAAGGAAACGGAGCAGCTCGTGAGACATGACATAACACACACACACACACAATATCACTTAGAAATGTTAGATCCATAATCATGAAGAAAATTCCTTTATTCTCAGCATCCGAGATAGTTTCAGATGCACATCTAGGTCAAAACTACTAGAACTTTAAAAATGAAAGTTTAAACATACACAGTTATAATGAAACATCTGCTGTCCATGAAAGTTTACACTTCACTGTGGGTTACTGTCTATAAAAGTTTAAGCTTCACTGTCTTAAGTTTGCTGAAAAATATGACAGAAGTGTATATACATAAGTCCAAACTCAAGTTACATGTTTTAATGCTTCAGCAGCACAAATTTTGCGGCGACCGGTCCCATCGAAAGGCCATCCTCACATGCATACAGATACTCATCAGCATTGCTCAAAACAAAAACAGATCTTAATGAAAGTATACAAGAGCAAGGCACACATGGAAAAAGCCAAACAAAATCAAAGCGACTGTCAATATAAACAAGTTACATAATGGTACAGCTTACATATGCACCAGCCACGTGTCACTATAAACTGAGCCACAAGGAGGCAAAGATCTATTTTGGGTTCATCTTGTACAGGGACACCAGAATCTACTCACTTTTGTTTCCAGATCTTTGAGAAGTTATTGTTTTGGACTACATTATCTAGACTCTTCAAGAAGTACATCCCCTGGTCATGCTGGCTGGAGAAATTCTAGGATCTATGTTGTGTGTACTTTTCCCCCCTTCCCAAAAAATATTTTCCAAATTCTACCCACACCCCTTGAATAGTCCAACCACTTTGCAAAGTTCCCCTATTTCAAACACATTTACTCATGGGCAACAGAGACTGTTGCTGTTGGGGTGGGGTAAGGCTGCTTGTGCATTATGTCTCTACATTGATTTGGAATGAACATTCATGGGATTCTCTTGCACTTTTTCCTTTGATTCTGACCATTTATCACAATAATTAGTGCACCATAGATGTGATCCAAGAATAAATTTTCTCAGTGAGATTTTCTTACCCGTGGATATGATAGACACTCTTTGCAGCTATTTTTATTGGTCTTAAAATGCACAATCGGGATGGCTATGTGTTTTACTTCGCAGAGGGCAATACAGACAGTCCTGAAGTTAGGTTTTGTAAATTTGTTCTTAAGCTGAATTTGTTTGTAAGTCAGAACAGCTACATTTTTAAAGTACAACTCCAGACATTATATATATAGCATTGGATAGCATAGGGAAAGGGTTAATACCCTTATGGTGTTTGTTTGCTGTCTGAGCCCCTGTTCAGAAGATTTCACCTCATTTTCTGTCCCTGTGATAATTGGATTTCGAAAAATTTGGCTTGCTGTGGAAAGAAGGATTGGTGATAAAGCTTCGGTCGATACACTTTTCTCCATGATAACTCTTTCAGGTGGGAATTCCTCTCCCTAGGGATAGATTTATGTATTTATTTATTTCCCACATTTGTACCCCGCCCTTCTCACCTGAAGGAACTCAAGGCGGCCTAGATATCCTACTGTCTCATCCCTGTTCTTAAGTAGGAATTGTTTGTAAATCAGATGTTTTTAACTCAGGGACTGCCTGTACGCTATTTGAAGGATTGTCAGAGAAGACAATAATCTCTTTGAAGGTGTTCTCTGTTTGAAGGGGGAGTCCATGTCAGTACATGGACAGCAGGATGAGCAGGCATGCAGATCTCTATGTCACAGTGCTCTACACTATGAAACATGTTTCATATCTTTGTTTAAATCAAAGAACAATCATCCCTCAGTATCTACAGATGTTGCGTCCACATATTTGACCATCCACAATTCTTATTTATTTATTTATTTATTTATTTGACCCAATTTGGCTCGGAGCGGTTTACAGCAGTAGATTAAAACAATACAATTAACTTTAAAATACAATAAAAACAAGAACAGACATAGTCCCGAGTTATTCACCCATCGAAAGCTTGTCGGAAGAGAAAGGTTTTACAGGCTTTCCGAAAAGCAAGTAGGTGAAAATAATGTTGTTTTAAATTCCAAAAGGCAAACTTTGATTTTGTCATTTCTATAAGGAACATCATTTCAGTATGACACTGCATACAGTTGGACTTGAGCATCCACAGGTTGTGGTGTCTATGGAGGATCCTGAAAACAAATTCCGGATGCTAAGGGCTCAACACAGAGTGATTATTTCTCAATCCCCCGTATGACACTCTCTTGTCATGTTGGGGTGGTTTACAATCAAAATGCATTTTGACACAGGGCTCCTAACAAATACAATTCAGAGTTGCTACAGGATATAAGGATGGAGTGGCTGTTTGGTTGTGCATTTAAGTAATTGGATCAAATTTTGCCATAGTCACTGCTGAATGTTTTTATGTTGAATGTTTTTATATTGAATGTTTTATATTGTGTATAAGCTATTTTAAATTGTAAGTTGCTCGGAGCACTTTGGTGGAGAGCGACTAATTAAGAAATAAAGTGATGATGATGATGATGATGATATTTGAAGATCTACATTTTGGGGTCCTAAAAGGATCTTTAATAGATTTGATCTTATATATCCATTATGGTTCCCAAAAAGATTGGTTCCCAGTTTTGAAGCTTGAGTATATAATACAATTAATTATACAATTGCATTTGGGAGTATACTTAACATTTTATAATGCAATTAGCTGCCATAAGAACTTCATGAAACCATAATGTCATGGTATGACATTATATATATATATATATTTGATTAAAAGTATTTTTCCAAGTATTACAAGGGGCTACTATTGAGAGAAACTTAAGTCCTAACAACCACATCCAATAAAAAACCACATAAAGTACGACATATTTCCTTTCTTACTTTCTTACTTCATTTTCCCTTTTTCTATTACCAAAAAAAAAAAAATGAGTGGCATAATTAAATAGTAAGTACTTCTGACCTTTACTTGCAATACCAAGGAAAAGGGTTTTTTTTACCATACAACAATGTGACTAAAAGAAATGGAGATAAGTTTAACCTTTCACTTTGAGTGCAGCAATGTTTTTTAACCCTCCTCTCAGCAGATGGGACATTTTAGCATGCTAGAGTCACATTCTGTTGCAAAAGTCACACAGAACTAGACCTAGAAGGCAGACATTTTATGACACTGTCACCTCAAGAATTTTATTTTAAAATATTTCTGAGGTTCAGCCCCCTACTACATGCATGTTTTTAATGGGGCAAAAATCTGGAAAAAATATCCCACTATGGAACGACCTGTCGGAAGAGACTTGACAGCTAAATCAGTTAACAAAATTCAAAAACTCAACTGAAGACCCATGTCTTCCACCAATCAACTTTAATTTGCATTTTATCAGGAAATTTTAACCTGCATCTTAACTGTGTTTATCCTGTTATATGTATTTAAATAGTCTTATGTTTTAACCCTGTTGTTCCCCAACTTAAGCCGCAAGGACATGGAGGTAATCAATGCATTGTTATAATAATAATAATAATAATAATAATAATAATAATAATAATAATAATACAACTACTACTATTGTTGTTGTTGTTCTGTTTTACCAGTAAAATACCACCACACACACACACACACAGTATAGTTTTTCAGATCATTAGAGATAAAGGTAAAGGTTTCCCCTGATATTATGTCTAGTTGTGTCCAACTCTGGGGTGGGGTGGTGGGGTGGTGCTCATCTTCATTTCTAAGCCCAAGAGCCAGCGTTGTCTGTAGACACCTTCTAGGT